ATTAAACAAGATTTAATTTACACATATAAGATTCTGTATGGTTATGTTAGATTGCTAAATTAGATTGCTTGAAATATTATAACTTTAGACTAAATTTAAATCCAACAAGAACTAATGGCTTAAAATTACTAAAACCTATATGCAAAACTAAACTAAGGACTCATGACTTCTTTATTCGTACTATTAACTACTGGAACAAATTACCAAACGATGTAGCTTCATCCTTCCTTAGCTTCATTGTGCGTCATCCTTAGCTGTCTTTAAAAAAAGACTAGATAATATCATTTACGATATTATTTAAAAACAAAAAAAAAGAGAAGAATTTACACCAGGCAAGAATTTCAGGAAGTGAGAAATCTCGATTTTATCTTCAGGTTATATATGTTACATCGAATTGTACTATATTATATCTGTGATTTCCTCTTTAAATTGTTAATTTTTGTCATATTGTTTTATAATTAATTTTGTTCATGTTATTTTTTTTTGTGTTTTCTTTTTCTGTTATCTTAATTGTTATTATTAATACAAGCACATGGCGTTGTCGCCCTGCTTGGCTGGTTATCAATAAATAAATAAAGAATGTACAAACACAAATTAGCGAACAACAAACATAAATTCTTCGAATAATTGCTGTGAATCGGCTTGCTAGTTATACATTCTTTGGATAATTTTTTTATGCGTTTTGTTACTATCTTGATTTAGCCGCATTCTATTCCTCTTTTTTAGGTACTTAAAAAAACTAATGTAGTGTGAGAAACGTTTTATCTTGATACGTATCTCGTATTTGTTATTGCTGTAATCAGATAATTTTTTTATCTGTATAATTGGCTGTATAATTGGCTAATTATTCTGCATGCCATTCCCATTAAAAACGCCTTTTTTTGTAGAGAAATATATGCACATATAAACTCTTTATTTAATCCACTGTTTAATTACCCAAGAGAGCCTCCTCGGCCTACTTGGGTAAGACAATAAACAGTTTGATCATCAACTGGTAAACCGTATTCCTCTCGGAGTGAAGTTTCGTTTGTCCAACATCTTGTTCTGAATACCGCCTATTCTCTCAGATTTCTCTTCAATAACACCGCCCACCTGGCTATGGAAGCAAATTCACTAGAGATCTTTACAACTTCTTATTTAGATTAAAATTATTTGGTGCCGATTATGTAATTGTTGGCGATTTTAATGTGCCAAACATAGATTTGAAAAGTAGTTGCTTGAAAAATAGTAGTAAATCTAGAATAACATAGATAGATCTAGAATAACATATTGCCACTATGTATAATATTTTAGATATTGTATTAGCTACTTCTACTTCTCTTGTTGATAAAGTCTTGGAACTTTTTTATAATAGTGATCACAATATCATTCATGTTTCTAGAAATTACCGTTACTGTGATTATGAAATCTTTTATTTTATCCTCGCAGAAATAAACTGGGATATCTTATTTTATTTAACCTTATTAATTAATTTAAGAAAAAGTTAAGAAAAAAAATGTTAGGTCGATATCCACTTTTTTAAAATCTCTTTAAAAAAATGTCACGAAGCTTTATAATAAATGCAAATTAACCAAATTGCCATGTAACCTCTCTGCATATAAAAAAGAAAAGTTTAAAGTTTCCATAGTGCCATTCATAATTACTTTTCAGATAAAAAAAAGAAACTTTTAATATTAATAGAAATTCTTTCTGGACCTATATCAAAAGGAAATTTGCAAATCCAAGTAAACAATCAATTCTGCAACATATATATCGCAAATAGCGAAAACAGAAATATACAAAGTAAATTACGCAAATAAATGCTGTGAATCAGCTTACTAATCTTAAATTCCAATTCCTTTTTTGTATACCCAAAACAAAACTAATTTAATATACAAAATCGCTTCTATTAAGACATCTATTAAGACATATTCAAATAACTATAGCCTTTGTAACACATATCTGTTAATTATGCGCTGCGTACTATTCATACTAAAATTTTTATTGCAAAGGAAAATAATATATAATATAACAATATAAAAATTATAGAATAGACTTATGCGTATAGAATAGACTCACTTCGAAATCGTTTAAATTATTTGTTATTTATGTATGAGGAACTCGTTTTTCTCTTATTTGTTTGTAAACCTTTTAACTTTATCTTAAACTTTATTGTTTATAAGAATTATAAGAAAAATAAGAATTTCTATTTGGGTACGACGACAAACCATTAGACCATCAACTGAAGAACCGTATCTCTTCCGAGTGAAGTTTCGTCTGTCCAACCTTTTGTACTTAACACCGTCAATTCATCCTCCATCGAATCTCTCCCCAGTAAAACTATCAATTTCCCAGAACTCTGGTAGAGGATCCGATGAGGATGATCTTTACCACCCACAGTCGTTGATTATGATCTTTATTAAATCTTCATTGTGTTTGGTTTATAATATTTCTTTTAGAAGCTGGTGATCTTTATGCATTATATTGCTTGTTTCTTATTTATATTATGTCGTATAAACGTATTGCGATTTCATTAATGATATAACACTCGCGTCGGCCGGCATAACAATTCAAAATGTGGATAACAAATTAATGACTCAAATAGGAAGTTGGCGATCGTCAAAATTTGAGCTTGTTTCCATTTTTTTTATTCATCCGATAAACAACTGGCACGCAAATGTAGCGACACTGCTAAAAAGATTTTCTGAACCGTTGCTAGAGATTTTGACTATAACGAAATGCGATTTTTATTCCAAATACATAATCTTAGTCATCGACTCGCCAAAAAAAAGTTGTTTGTTAACTTAATTAATTCATTGATTCCATTTACTTCTGTCTGATCAACCCAGATTTGCAAATTGTATTTAAGAAAACTTTTTTCTTATTGTCGAGCAAACAATGGACCCGAGTGGTCGGATCCTAATTTATAAATATTTAATTTTATTATTTGATTTCCTTATATCGTGATTTTTGAATAAATTGTGATCCTTTTTATTTATTTTTAAATGTTTTGTCGTTTTAATTTTTAGTTTTTACTTCCGTTTTATAACGATTATTGTTTTACGTTATAATATTAAAAATTTAACTACTCAATGATAAAATTTTGATAATTAAGATAAGGTGAGATAAAAATTTGAACCATGCAGCACCTTACATTATTATTATAGGGACAGTTCAGATACGATTGAATGTTAAACGATCTATTATTGTTACTATATGCTCTATTCATTTTTGTACAGCAATAGCGAATTTTCGACAGTATCAATAAAAGTAGCAGTAGCTCCGACTTAGCCATAACAGGCATTAAGACGCCCAAATCACCTCAGAGTTACATAGGCTATGATAACCACTCTAAAGAAATCCAGTCAGAAAACAAAAAACAAGAAAGACTACTGCTGCTAACTCTCCGACTTGTTTATTCTGCGAAGAACCTCACTGAATGTCAAAATTGTTAAACAGAATAAAATTATTCAAATGAATTCAGGAGAGCTATGAGGTATATACGACCCCAACGTTCTGCAAAGTCTAAACAAGCAAAACAAAAGAGTTGGCCATTAAATTTTCCAATACGAATTAGAAGCGTCGATTCAAATCAACTGCATATTTTTACTTTATCGCGAAATGTTTAATTCTGAACGATCAGAAATAGTAAAACAACCATCATTGCATTATTTGATGTTGAATGATGATGAATGCCAACAATTCTATTCTTTCATATGAATCCTTATTAAAGGAAATGAAATTACCAAGTAAGGAAGCACACAACTCAGAGATCGCTGTTGTTTTTATTTTCGATACTCAGTTTAGTTAATAGTTTAGTTAATAAAAAATCGGTTCCAATAAATCTTATTCATTTGTATTACAACTTCTAGCATCTCTTTTACAGAATTATTCAAGAGGGTTTTTTTATTTCCAAACCTATAAAAAAGTGTGACCGGCAAAATATTTTAAAATGAGGCGATAGAAATGGAGCTGCTTAAGGTATTGAAACTGTGCATAAACAGATTTCTATCGCAAACCTCAAATTTTTATGCGCTTTTAATTCAATTGGGTAAAATACTAAGTAATTGGGTAAAAGTGATTTGGTAACCAGCCTGGGCACCGATTCCATTAAGACACTATTCTTCATCTGACCTAATCGTGCTTATGTAATAATCGTTCATTTATCGCAAAATCAAGATCTCCTTCTTCAGGATATAACTTCATAAGATAAAAAAAACACATGAATTTCACTGCAAGAAAATAATGAAAATAATGAAAACAGTGGATTTTTTAAATTTATAAAAATTTGCATAAAAAAGTGCGAATTCATAAAATATATTTTAGTTATGCCTAATTATTTGATATATTTGAAACAGAAGGCAATACTTTTAAAAAATACTGCAATTGTTTTATAATTTCTACAAATTACAAATAAACAAATCAACACAATAAAATAATATATTGCACTGACAATTTTAAAGCGAAATGAATATTACAGCAATAAAGCATAAAGTATTATAAAGCTAGAATAGAGAAGAAATGAGACAACAATGTCAAAGCAAAACAATAATTAAAGCATAACACTTTTAAAAAATTTCATAATTTATATGAGGTTCATCAAGTCAAGAAAAAAACGAATATGAAGATCAAAATATGGCAATTCATCAAAATACTTTAAAAAATGAGCAAACATCTGAAAAAAGTTTTAAAAAATTTATGGATGTTTGGTATTTCAAATGTCCTAAAGAAGAAAATATGATTTAAAAAAAAGGAAACGCCAGTGAAGCCACCAGCCAATAATTTAGAAAAGAAAAAAAATTAAAGGAAAGTAATGGTCGACTTCAAAAAATCACTTAATCATCTTACAGATTTTTAGGCCATAAGCAAAACCTTTTTAAATTGAATTAATCAAATTAAAATTGATAAAAATATAGCATAAACCAGTGAATAACCACAGCTGCTGCTGCTAATAATTTTGCCAACAAAAGACTAGAACAAACTAAACCAAACTGCAATATACGAAACTATTTGCACTGTTTTTATATCGATGACTGTAATGAAAATCCTTGCAAATGTATTCGATCGCATCCCGTGCTCCCGATAACCATTTTACTTTTTGCTGCATCCGAAATTGTTTTTTGAACTGATATATGCTAAAATTAAAATTAATCAATAGGATACTTTTAACACGACAGATAAAAATTTAATAAATTGATCTACCATTTCGTGATGGATTAAAAGGTAATGGCTTAAACTATTATGAAGGGCAACAAGTTTCAGTAAAAAACCAAATATAAATTAACCTCGACGGATGAATAACGATGCATATTTTTTTGTTTTCTTGAGCGCAAAAATATACATATAATTGGGCTGAAAACCACGAAGAAAAATGATGTACATATAGCGATAATAATATATAAATTTGGTTTAACTGCGACAACTTCCACAGCTCCACGACATTTATTCCAGTCATCGGATGAAACATCGACAATCAATTTAGCATTAGCAGTTTTCAGGACGTCAGGTCCAACTTTATATTCACATCCATAACTACCACTGTCCGAAGTATGGGCCTATAAGATAAACAAATTAGTGCAAGAAAACTATTGAAAACATTAACAATAAAAAATAAAATAAAATTTAATAAATTTTAAGCTACTAACGCAGCAGAAACAAGAGAAAAAAAGTTGTAAAAAACAATAAAACAATAAAATATACTAAAAACCTCATTTATAACTAGAATCTGATTATCAGCTTTGAATGTCATATGAGAAGGCGCAGTTAACGGATCGATACGTTTACCGTTGTGCAACCATTCTACACGGACTTGAGGTTGCTCATTTGTTAAACAAGTAAAAAAAACCGTCATGCCCGAAACAACACGGCGGTCTTCCAATTGGGGTCGAAAGTCTTCTAAAAAAAGAAGCAAATATCATAAAACATATAACCTAGTACCATTTGAATTTTTATAAAATGTTTTTTCATTTAAGGAAAAGGAAACGAACATAAGATGTTAGCTTTGTTTGAAGTCGACTAGAAACACCCTACTGAAATTGGAAATTGGAAATTTTTATATGTCATGGACACCAAATACTTTCTGTCAGTCAATAAAGATTCTATTCTATAGATTAAGCAGAATTCTTACCGAAAACGAAAATATATGCAGATTTCTCAATATTGCCAGCTTCATTACTAACGTGACAAGTATACAAACCGGCATCAGCTAAAGAAACATTAATAACATAGAGAGTATCTTCATTTGACTTCACATGCAAACGCCTTTCAACCGCAGCAGGAAAAAATTCACCGCCATCTTTCCGCCATTTCACAACAGGAGGTGGGACACCTAAAAAAAAGTGGAAAAAAATTCAATTTATTATCATTTATAATTACATGCGACTTCCAGAAACAATGAATTTCACACGGTCTGTCAATGCTTCATACGAACAGAAATGATTCAATATAGTTTGAAAAGCTATTCAAAAAAATTAAATATGATGATTAAACATTGATAAAAAAGATTTAAAGCAAACCATGTGCTGAACATTTAAGCTTAGCGCTTCCACCTTTGATGATAGAAACATTAGATGGAGATACAAGAAATTCAGGGAGCTGATAAACAATAATTTTTGATCTGAAAATCTAAAAATTTTACATATACAAAAATTTCATTTTATAATCCTTAACAATATAACGACATCAAGATCAAAAAAATTCGAAATTCGGTATTAAAAGTGCCTATAAAACAACAGCAATCATGAATTGAAAAATAGGAAAAAATACTTCAGTGAATAAGCTGAACCAAAATGGTTTCGAACAACACATTGATATTCAGCTTCATCCGTGAATGTTATATCACTTAATTTCATTTCGCTGCTTAAATATTCAAGGGAAATACCATTTGAGCCTGAAATACGATTAAAAGATTTTAAAACTGAGTATTGAAAAAAATGTGATAAGGAATATATCAAAATATTTAAAATGTTTCATACCATTTATACTATTTGAACGATTGAAATAAAAATCGGTTGTTGGATCATGGATAAGAATCCGATGTACACCACTTTTTATCACCTTCCAGGTGATTTCTAGTGGTGATGCACCATAACCCATGCAATGAAGTTGCACGATAGAACCAAGTAAAGCTTTAGTTGATGGAACAGGATGCTTCACTAAGCGCACGCGAGGAGAATTATCAACTAAAATAAAACCTTACAAATTTTTCAGATGGACAGGTTCGAAAGCACTTTCCTGTATACTTGCAATAGGATTATCAGTCAAATAATTTATGGAAGAGATTATTAATACAAATTTTAATTTTACCATATACCTTATATTTTTATATATTTTAAAATAAAACAAAAGTACATCAAAAATAAGTAAAAAAAATTACCACAGGTGAGATTTGATACATCAACCATGGTTATATCAATGCCTTGTAGAAATGTTGGATGCAAACATACAGTAGATATAGTACTACGATCAAGTCCAGATGACGATAGCCATTTCGGAAACCATCTCAATTCACAGTCACACACCAAGGATGAAGTATTTATATATCTAATATGTAACCATATAAGTATTTTTTAATAAGCTATCAATAATGAATCAAAAAGAAGTATTATAATAAAAGAATGTTCCATTAAGTGACTTCCTGTGCATGTTAATTTTCAAAACCTTACAAATTTTTCAGATGGACAGATTCGAAAGCACCTTCCTGTATACTTGCAATAGGATTATCAGTCAAATCCAGCGATTGTAAATCAGGAAAATTTTCGAAAGCTCTTGAAGGTACTGTTCGAATACGATTTGAAGCGAATTTTAATGTGTGGATGGACGGAAGCGAGGTATTGCCAAAAATAGAACCATCTTCAACACAAACAGCAAGCCCATTGTCAGAAAGATCACTAAAATACTTTTCACGCCATATCATAGGAAATATTGATCCACTTAATCATTAATTAAATCACCTTAATCATAGTCATCCAATTTATCTTTCAACGTGGTTTCGACTTTACCAATGGTCCTTAAGCTTTTTCTTGCATCAACCCCATACAAAAAAAATATTTTTTCAATCGACTCCTTGCAAATTTTATATAAAATAATAAGATTAAAGAAGCAATAAAATATATTAAATATATAATATAATATAAATATATAAAATAAATTATTACAGATTTATTACAGATAATAAATTATTACAGATTTAAAAAACTACAAATTATATGAATGTATTAGGATACAAAATATGGATCATAAGCACCAATACGAACATTTTATATTCGGTTATTCGATATTCTTAAATCGCCAAATATTTGATTTGTTGTTTGTTTTTCTCGATAAATTAAACCTTCTAATACTATATTAATTGCAGCTCATTAAAGAGTTTTTTATAGTTAAAGAAATTATCATTGAGAGATTCCTATTCTTATTATTTGAAATTTCTTATTTCTAATTATTTCTAATATTAAATTTATCTAATTTTTCCATCGATCTCCAATTAATCTCTTTTAAAATTCCACTGACCCACAAGGTATATCGGTGCCACTAGGATTCCTTGGCCCATAAACCAGCCGATTTCGATATTTTTGGAGTAATGGCTAACTGTTAAAAATAAGGAAAATAAGGGACTAGCTTTGAGGAAACTCCTTTGATTTCTGTTCTTTCAAGCAAATTTTCATAAAAAATCCAGAAAATAGTGCAGAGGTTTCATTTCATTCATTGAGGAAAAGCAAACACATTTGATCAGAAAATTTTTTGTCTCAGTCATCTAAGGAGAAATGGTGCAACTGAATCTTCACTTATTTTAAAATTACTTTTAAATCTCTTATTTTTAGCATTTTTTATTTTTTTTTTGTATGTGAATTTTTTCCTTTTAAAACATTTATTTCTTAATATCTTTTATCTAAAATTTTTATTTTTTAAAGAGTGGTCCATTTCCAAACATTTTAAAAATCTCGAATAATGGCTGATTAGGAATTGGTTGATTAGCAATCCCATGCCAACAAATATGTTCTAATCATTTGATATATTGGATGGTAAATTGGTCTATTGCATTTAGATTTAAATTTTCAAACTTTCTCCATCGGAAAAGGCACTCTCAGTCTTTGATAGTTTTAACGAGATTTCCATCCTTATCTCTCCGATTATTTTATGAAGTAAAAAGATTCATTTTCGTTGATCGTATACTTGAATCGCTATCTTCATATTCAGGGCAGTATTTTCCCAACATTGATTTTTGCCCTATCTTATAAAGTTTACGAATCTACCGAGTTGCACATGGCTATCCTTCAGATATTTTAATATCTCAGATTGAAATATGACGATTGCCATCTTTTGAAGTATCAAAAAATTTCAGAAGATATGTGCGTGTCGTCAATTTCATACGGATTTTGGGTGTACCATAACATGACTCGATGGAGTTAATTCTGGTAAAAAATCATTCGATGAATAATCAGATCAGCCCACTGTATATTTCTGAGAGAATTTTTTCCTCTTGCGCGAACCTAGCACGTATTGATAGTAGGATGCGCTCTAAGCTCAACAAGGATTTATGGCTTTTTTTAAGGCATTGTGTGGAACGAATTTTCCATCTAAGAAGAGAGAAGAGAAATAACTCGCTCAAATAACACCTGCATTAAATAACAACATTACAAAACATCGCTTCAAAAATTGCATCTTACCACTTAACTGATTTACCGCTGTTTTTGATTTGGTCGATTTGTAATATAATAATATAATATAATAATTGAAATATGACGATGTTCAGATATGTGTATTGGGGGCTGATATAACCTTCCGAAATAAGAACTGGTATGTGTCCTTGATAATTTTCAACTTTGATGAATGAGCATCATTTGCCAGTACTCAAATAGATTCAGAACAAATCAGTCCGTAGCAATCAGTCAGATTTTCTTCCTGTCTATAGCAGTCAAACGTAGTATCATGAACCTTGAACAAGCTGATGGTATTATCCTTGAAAATCACCTACAATTACTACTATAGACAGGCAGAGAGTCGATAAATAGCAAAAACTTTCTAAAAACTCATCATCATTTCAGATTAACAAAGACCTTAAACTTCGAATCCTGTCTGATTCTTAATAAAATTTCAACTCTAATAACTACTGCGATTCTTCCATCTGGTTCCGAGACTATTTGAAATTCGATAGGAAATCAGCATAGTTTACTGGCTACCATGCAAAATTTTATTATATGGCTATGAAACATGGTCAATGAGAATGGAAGATATCAAGAAATTATAATCTTGCCTAAGGTAACTACCAAAGCTTCATACAATCGCATCGACTCTCGCTCAAATAACACCTGCATTAAATAACACTGCAAAACATCATCTGCGCTAATTTAAAAATGTCTAAAAATGCCTTACAAATTTGGTTGTAGATTATATTAGATCACTGAGATTATATTTCCCATTTAAAGAAAAAATTTATCGCCTGAATTTTAATCTTCTATAACTCTAAGGATGGGTAAGGAAATTTTTCGTATTTTATGGAAATTTAAAAAAAAAGTAACGTTCGTTTGAATTGCTGAATATAGAACTGTGCTTTGTTGGATGCCATTATTTAAAAATGGATATCGGACGGCAAAAATCTGCTCAAAAATATGAAATACGAAAAATATGAAATTTTTAAACAAGATGAATACTTACAGAAAATTAAGTGAGTCCAACCCCATCATAGCATCGTTATGAAGCACATCAATATGATTATGTGCCAATGAAAGAAATTGAAGACGTGAAAATTTCCGAAATATCATTGAAGGAATCGAGCGAAGACCATTTGAAGCCAATGACAACCATTCTAATGAGAAAGACGAAGACCAAGCTGTCGGCTCCATCCAGGTAATCTCATTTGCGCTCAAATCCCTGAAAATTTCAATTAAAAAATCTACATTTTCTCGAAAAAAAATAACGAAGCGACAAAAATTTATATTTATATTTTATTTAAATTTTAACAAAAGTTTATTGAACATGAACTTGAAATATATAATGATAATATTAATCTAAAAATCACTAACAGAGCAAGCAAGGAATTTAATCCATACAACCAACCACTCGTAATAATTTTCAAGCGATTATGGCCCAAATTAAGACGTTGTAATTCTTCTAAACCCCAAAATGCTCCATCTTCCAACATAGAGAGAGAATTGCGATAAAGCGATAAATTTTTTAACGAAATTAGTGAAGGAAAAGTCAAAGCTCGAATAGCCGATAGTCGATTTCTGCTAAGGTCTCTGCAAAGTTCACCAATATTTCTCCTTTACAAACGCTTTAGGCCTTTAAAAAAATCAAAAATCAAATCAAAATTTTACATTTAATCTCTCACTCGAACCTTCGTTGGAGCTCTATTTTAAATCAAATCAAAATACAATCTTCAAAATATGAATATAATAAAATATACAGTGACTGGAGATCGCCAAGTCCTCTGAAGGCATCTTTCTCGATGGACTCTATTCTGTTACGAGATAGCCGTAGGCTTTTCAAAGAATGTAAAGCAGAAAAAGTATCTGCTGACAAATTCGTTATCACATTATTATTCAAATCCCTGTAAAAGCAAACCAGAAAATCGTTTTATTATTAATGAGATAATATTAAACATGTTTAAAAGTCATACAATTTGATTATTTTACAATCATCGTGATTAATAATTGTAGTTTTCGGATAATTCCGAATCATATTTCGAGCCAAATCGACCCATTCGATTTTCGCTATTCTATTAGCATCAATTGAAGATATAACATTGATTCTATTTAGTTTTCTTAAAAAATAACTAAATTAATGCAGCAAAACTAAATTAATATATTAAAAATTAATAAAGTAATATAATGATATAGTAACATTAATATTTCTCCTTTCTTTAATAGATATATTTTTAATACAATTTAAAAAATCGAAAAAACTAACAAATCCAATTTTTTCAAATTTCTAAAGAATTCTATCCCAAGTGGCACAGATGACAATTTATTTCGCTTCAATATCCTGCAAAATTATTATCAAACCGAAAAGCCAACAATGAAAATTTAAATAGATTAAATTTGTGCTCAATTTCCATAATGCAGAAATGGATTTATAAGTTATTAAACACCACATAAAATCATATCATCAAATGAAATTTACAAGTTTTCAAGATTCTGAAGCTTCGAAAAAACAAGACGTGAAAAAAATTCGATTTGATTATCGCTAAGATCTCTGAAAATTGAATTGAAAAAATTGAAAATTGAAAATTTTTAATCAACCAAGAATAAGCATTAAAAGTTATTACAATTTTATTGCAGCAAATATTTTCTAATGAGAATAGTTATAAAGCACATTTGAAAAATTTTTTTTCTTAAAATAAAATGGATTATTTCTTAAAACGAACCTTGAATTTATTGATAATTTTAAAATCAATGAAATTGTGAAAAAATTTAAAAACTATAAAAAGAGAATATTGCCTTACAGTGTTGTTAATTCTGCGAGATTTATAAAGGCAGTTTGATTTACTTGTTTTATTAAATTGCCTTGCAGTTCGCTAAAAAAACAGAAATTGAATCCGGATGTTACTGCATCTGATAAAATAAAAAATAAAAGAATATTTACAGAGTTACTGTCCATGGCGGCAGATTTTGAGGAACAGACGAAAGGTCGCGAAAACTGCAATCTACATGAGTACCAAGGCAAGTGCATTCGGGAATACACCAACGGGAAGAATTTAATCCCATCACAAAATTTGTAATTATGATACAAATCAGAAGCAGCAAAAATGAATGCCATTTTCGATTCATAAAGTAAAAGAGACTGCATTGTGCCATTTCATGAATATATATCTTAAAATTATGTAATCTAAGCTATTAAAATATCCAAATATCCAAAAATATTATCAAATATCCAAAATGTTTAACATTCGATAGATGGAAAATATAAAAAGTATTGAAAACATTAAAACCTGGAAATTGATAATTCCTCGGAAACATCCTGCGGAATTTGAAGATGTCCCCAAAAAACTTCAACGTTTTCTCTTTTTCCCTTAAATTAACAACTGAGATTTAAAAAATGCCAAGCAAACTGGTACTTTTCAGTTAAACCAATTTTTTTGCATTTGCAGACATTTTCCTTTTTTGTCATTTCTTACCCGTCTTTTCTCTTTACCAATCCTTCGATTCTACCGTTGTACTACTTCTTCATTAACAATAAGTAATTATGTAACTGACTTCTCAATTTTGTGTATTTCTTCCCTGCATATGTTTTTTCTCATTTTCTTTCCCATTCCTCCACTAATTTATTTAACTTTAACTTGATTTATTTAACTTTTTTTGATGATTTATTTAACTTTTAAGCGTTTTTGCATGGAGTGCTCCTAATACTTTCTTAATAATTAAAGCTCACTGATATAACGAACTGATAAATTGCTGATAAATAAAAAAACAAATGAATAAAAAAATGATAAATATAAAAAATTTAAAAAATGAAAATGATAATAAATAAATAAAATGAAAACATTAAATAAATAAATAAAAAATATAAAAAATATTTCAAGAAAAAAAGAATAAAACATTTCACCAGAAAAACTGATGAAAGAAAAGATTAAACTGAAATTTGCTAGTTAATACCAAATTTTTGCAACTTAAAACCTCAAGAAAATTTTTTCAGAATTAGTCACATTTATCAAATCAATTGATAACATTGATAACTTATAAATTTAAAAATCAATAATTAAAAAATGCGAACCAAATTTGTGATAATTCGTTTCGAACAGCAAAAAATCACAAATTCATAAAATTTACGATAATTTATAATACAAAAAATTCATCCTGAAATTGCAACAATTCAATAATTGTTTATTTATTATTATCAAATAATTATTATTTAAATTTCGAAAATGAAAAGTTTTTTCATGAAAAAGAAAATAAAAACTAATAAATAAATATAGAAAATAAATAATAATCGAAGCGAAAAATAAAAAACCCTCAGATAAATTCAAATTTAGAAAAAAATAACAATAAATTAAAATAAAAAATAATCAAAAACCTATTAAAATCTGGTACGTTCAATGAAAATACAATAAAAACCACTTTAAGTCTTCACGATTTAACATATTTTTCAAAAATTTAAAATTTGCCCAAACAGGCGACAATAAATAAGTAAAGTTGTCTGAGCCGACTTTTAGGAGGTTTGTGAAGGAGGAAAGTTGGGGAGTGAAGGCAGTTGCACAAGTTCGATGAATTGGGTTTTTTGCTGGATAAAAGTTACATAATTAATCCTTAGGTTCCCTAGGTTTTGATGGAGAGAATTGATTAAATTTTGGGTTAAATTTAGAGGGGTTAATTTTGGTTTGTTTGGAAATGTTACTGCGTTTCCTTTTCAGTTTGTATATATTAAGGCGCAGAAAAGTAAATAAATAGATAAAAAATAATTAAATAGATTTTGATGTAGACCAATACATCTTTTTCGTTAATGGTTGTTTACGCTTCGGACACTCCCGCAGCAGCTCATCCTTTGGTGCTCTTCCGACACTCCCGCAGCAGCTCATCCTTTGGTGCTCTCTTGCTGATATATTCCTGATTGATACGGCTTTCGATTAAGATAGTGGCTTTGGCACTCACCAAACCTCACCTGCCTTTTTTCTGCGTAGTATATTCTTTGGGTACTAAAAATGTGGTGATTTTCTCGCATTGTGACGAGTTTTCGAGCCTTCATATCGGCAACTTCTATATCTTCCTTTTATTATATCACTTTGCCAGCTGCGTATCTGATAACTGGCAGAGCATAGATATTTATGGCTTAATTTTAAGTTGGCTTTGTCTTATTCTTTAGTGGATTGTTGCAGTTTTCTTCACTTTTTCTGATCATCTGGCTGAGAGAACTTTGATCTGTGCATAGCGGGGACAGTGTACCACCTCGATATATGCTGCATTTGATAGCCACTTCCGCAAGTTGCTTTACCATCCCATTTAATTCTCGATATTGCTAACTTATAATAAGATCTATAAGATATTGCTAACTTTGCATAGACCCAGGCAAGATTTGAACTGCTACTTTCCTCAATACTCTTTTGAACTTGATTATATATTGGCTCATATCTTATAGTAGTTTAATGATTGGTGCCTAATAGTGCTTTCCACATTATGTGGAGGCAGATTATTGGTTGGTGGTTTTCCGTTGTTGTCTCCTTTTTTTTTTTCATGATCATTATCTTTCTTATATTAACTAGTATAGACCCCGTAAGCAGCTGGTTCATTTGCGTTAGTTGTCCATAAACATTTTTAGCCAGTAAATATGGATCATATCTGGACTCGGTGTTGTCGAATTTTTCTATCCGCTTTTTTTGCCCTCCATTGGATGCAGCTGGTAATTGTTTGCTGCCGTGATCTGGCATGTACCCAGCTTTATACTGGTGTTATGAATCTTCTTTTTCTTTTATATATTTTTTTAGTATTATTCAGTTTCTTCTTCTTGTAGCTTTGTTATTACCATATTTATATTTTTTGCACTGCACTGCGGTTGAGAATGCATCTTGAATGGTTCCTTTGAGCACATTTGTCTTTTTGGTTCTTTCTCTTGTATTTCCATGGCTTGGCAAATATAGCCCATGTTTTTTTTCAGTGGTTGCTGTTCTCCATATCTTTCTATAGTTCTGCCTGCTGATTTCTCTATGTTGTAATCCAATTCTCCAACCTCATTTTTCGGAGACGATTTACATTCTTATTCTTAATATCAGTTTTATACCCAAGTATATCCAGAATTACATTTGTGTATAGCATCTCTTGTTTTTTGTTATACTGGTAGTAGAATCGTTATGAGAGCTCTTTTCGCCTCTCCAGGTCTTACATTTCTAATGTTTCACCACTGAACTTTGGTTGTCCACTTCGAAGGTTAGTGATAGCCAGTTTAATCATTATTTTGTGTCTTCAGTCTTTAATCTTCAGTCTCTGCGTCGCAGTGAGGATATTGGGAGGAAATTTCCAGCTTTCCGAGTTTTTAGATATCAGGTCCTTTCAAAATATTAGGTCTAGGATGTATCGGAGAGTTGATCTATCTCCAGTTTTAGCTGTTTCTCGGTAAATATGGATGGTCGAGTCTTTTACCTACCTACTGTTTGTCTTATATCTCTTCATATATTTCCCTTCAATTAAGTTTATACTGTTTTAATATCATTAGTTCCGTATTATCTTGTCTTGACCAGGTAAAGTTTGTTTCAGTAGCCCTTTTAAGGTTCCCCTGGTTCCACAACACTTGGCGCAAAACATTGATATAGCGTAATGGTTACGGTGGGCGATATTTGGAACACAAGAGTAGGAGTTCGAGTCACAGCCAGTGAGACTCTTTTTTGGGCAAAGATCTCTCTGCATCACTTCAGTTATTAGAGTTTCATTTTATATTATATAAAAAATTAAATTTTTTCTTGATTTTTTTCACGAATAATGAACTTCAAGGGCGGTAAATATGTTGAATGGAGAATAGAATGGCTCAGTGGATTTTTGCTTATTTTGGAGCACCGATGCTGAGGCCCTATGTCCGGCAGGAGTAAAATCCGCGTTATTCACTTGTAATCTTATCACCAAGTGATTCCCTGGTGTATTTGTCTAGTGTGAAAGAGGAGTCGGACCGAGTCTTTAATCAGTAATTGTGGGCGTTCTCAAAAAAAAAGTACGTTGAATTTGTAATTTTTGAGGTGATCTTAAAGATCTTTGCGGATAAAAGGTTTGTTTATTTTATTCATTTTTCTTTATGATGGAACTCAGCTGAATGCTTATTTTAAAGTCTTGAACTATAATATTATTTATTATGATATTATTTTCAATAATATTAATAATATTATTTATTATTAATACTAAAAATAATCTTTACTAAATATTTATAAGAAACATTACAATAAATCGGTGAAAAAAAGCAGCAAAAAAAAATAAAAAAGAAGGAAAATTAGGAAAATTCTAACATAAAAATAAAATTGTAGTGATTAAGAATCACAAGAAAGAATTTGTTGCTTAATTTTTATTGTTTATTTTTCATTTTTTATTTTTCATTTAAAGTTAATAAGTTTAAAGTTAATTCGAATAACAATGGAGTGAATCCTAAGTGGGTTCTTATTTCGGGACGCTGGTGCTGGAGGTTTCAGGTTCCACTCCCAGTAAACTTATTTTTTTTCGAAATAGTACCAGGGAATGTGTAGTCCAATATGCCAGTGGAGTGAATCCAATTGGAAAGATGAATGCTCGTAGGGAAAAAATTTTGAATAAAAGTGCTGAGATTTATATTTAGGGATAGGAATCTAATTTTTCATATTTTCTTCACATATTTATTGCGAAAAAAGCGATAAAAACGGCTACTAAATATTTGCATAAAATAAATGATAAGATAGCAAAATAAAATTTTCCAAATTTTTAAATCAAAAATATTTATATAGTGTAACTAGTTTATTATAATGTGATATCAAAAAAATTTTCAAACGAAAAAAAGTAAAAGATTTGGCTAAAAATTTTATCAGCAAAATCTAAGTTTTTTTACGCTTTTTTACTTTAAAATTCGCTTTAAAAAATGAGAAAAAATAAAAAAAGGTGGATGACTGAATAGTTGATTATTATCGTTTAAACAAATATCTACGATGCATTGTTTCTTATTGCCACGCCTTGTGCAAATAATATTTGTCATTATTTCTTATCAGCTATTTTATTTTGAGCTTTTTGATTGATTCATAACCATTTTATTCAATAGTTCTTTGCTA